ACCGTGCTTCTGCTGAAAACCCTTTACAACAAGTCTAGCCTTGTACCTCTTACTGCCATCATGCTCAGTCTTCACCCGGTACACCCACTTGTTGTGTAATGTCTTCTTCCCAACTGGAAGATCTGCTAACTCCCAAGTTTAATTTTCAAGCAGAGAATTCATCTTCTCCTTCATAGCTAGCTCCCACTTTCTCTAATTTTCATCTTGCAAGATTTCTTCATAACTCTAAGATTGTCCACCATCTGTTAGCAGAATATAGTTCAAAGTCGGAGAATAACGCTGTGGAGAACGTCTAACCCTTTCTGACCTGCGAACTGCAACTGTAGGGGTAGACTGCTCTGAAACTGACTGTGGAACAATAGGAGTGGATGCCCGGACCCACTCTTCTCATCACCTGCATCTCTGTCCTGCTCCTGCACTGTGCCCTCTGTTAAATCATCAAACTTTACCAACTCAGATTCCTTCAGTGTTGTTTTAGAAACTGTACTGGACTTGTCCTTGTACATAACATTCCCATTGAAAACCATGTTCCTGCTCCTCATGATCTTCTGACTCTGATCATCCCAGAAATGATATCCAAATGCCTTTTCTTCATAGCCAATGAAATAACACTTCCTTGACTTAGCCTCAAGCTTATTACAAGCATCAGGATTAACGAGAATATAAGAAAGACAACCAAAAGTCTTAAGATGAGAAAATTTTACATCTTTCCTACTCCAGACTTCTTCAGGTAATTCACAGTTTAATGGAACAGATGAAACCCTATTGATCAAATAAACTGCAGTACTAACCGGTTCTGCCCAGAAAGTAGGTGGTAGTCCGACATGCAATCTCATGCTTCTAGCCCGCTCATTAATGGTCCTGTTCATGTGCTCTGCAACACAATTTTGCTGTGGTGTTCCTGGAGTGGTCTTCTTCATTCTAATTCCCTGAGCTGCACAGTACTCCTTGAACCCACCATCAATGTACTCACCACCATTATCAGACCTCAGACATTTCAGCTTTAAGCATGTCTCTGTCTCAACCATAGTCTTTCAAGTCTTGAACACACTGAATACATCAGATTTATATTTCAAGAAGTAAACACATACCTTTCTGCTGTGATCGTCAATGAATGTGATATAGTAACGAGAGCCTCCAAGAGATGCCACTGGAGAAGGTCCCCACACATCTGTGTGTACAAGATCCAGCTTTCCTGTCTTTAGCGTTCCGCCTTCAAGAAACTGACCTTCCTCTGCTTCCCCATAATGCAACTCTCGCACATAATGAAATCAACTGACTTCAGTTATGGTAGCTTGCCTCTGGACTGAAGTTCCTTCATACCTCTTTGACTCATGTGGCCAAGTCTGCAATGCCACAACTCTGTTGTGCTCTCTGCAACAGTAGTATCTACACTGTTAATTAAACCAGTAGTCATATACAATGTACATGTTTTCTTATCCCGAGTCAGTACCAATGCTTCTTTAGTAACATTCTAGGTACTATCTCAAGCTTATTACGAGCATCAGGATTAACGAGAATATAAGAACGACAACTAAAAGTCTTAAGGTGAGAAAATTTTACCTCTTTCCCACTCCAGACTTCTTTGGGTAATTCATAGTTTAATGGACAGATGGCAGTTTAATGGAATAGATGGTCCCCTATTGATCAAATAAACCGCAGTACTGACCACTTCTGCCCAGAAAGTAGGTGGTAGTCTGGCGTGCAATCTCATGCTTCTAGCCCGCTCAGTAATGGTCTTGTTCATGCGCTCTGCAACACCATTTTGTTGTGGTGTTCCTGGAATGGTCTTCTACATCCTAATTCCTTGAGTTGCACAGTATTTCTTGAACCCACCATCAATATACTCACCACCATTATCAACCTCAGACATTTCAGCTTTAAGTCTGTATCTGTCTCAATCACGACCTTCCAAGTTTTGATAATATTGAATACATCAGATTTATACTTCAAGAAATAAACTCATACCTTTCTGCTATGACCATCAATAAGTGTGATGTAGTAACGAGAGCCTCCAAGAGATGTCACTGGAAAAAGACCCCACACATCTGTGTGTACAAGATCTAGCTTTCATGTCTTTGGCGTCCTGCTAGTTTTCAAGAAACTGACCTTCCTCTGCTTCCCCATAATGCAACTCTCATAAATGCTGACATCAACTGATTTCAGTTCTAGTAGCTTACCTCTGGACTGAAGTTCCTTCATACCTCTTTGAGGGCCCGTTTGGAGCAGCTTATTTGGTGCGGTGGCGTTTTGAAAACGCACCTGACCTGTTTGGGTAAACTGTGTTTTGACAGCTTATGCATTTTCAAAATACAGAAAATAGCGTTTTAACACCGCACCTATCTAGGTGTGGTGGCAGCTTATTGGCAGCGGTTTGGCTTTTCCAAAAATTAAAAATTTGTAATAGCGACTGCACTTAGCTTATCAGCATATTATTTTTAATCAGCTTATCAACAGATTATTAAATAAGTTGCAGCTGCCCCAAACAGACCCTGACTCATGCGGCCAAGTCTGCAATGGCACAACTCTGTTGTGCTCTCTGCAACAGTAGTATCAAAACTGTTAATTAAACCAATAGTCATATATAACGTACATGTTTTCTTACCTCGAGCCAGTACCAATGCTCCTTTAGTAATCTTTCAGGTGTTATCTGAGAAAACTACTGAATGTCAACATTCATCAACCTGCCCAATAGAAATGAGGTTATTCTTCAGTTCATGAATGTGTCTGACCTTTTGCGAAGTCCACTTGTTCTTATTTGGAAGTGTATTGTCAATATCTCTCATTCCTACGACGTTCAGAGCTTCTCCATCTGCAGATATACTTTCCCAAAGTCATCTGCAACATAATTTTGCATCAAATCCTGATGGAAAGTTGTATGAAAAGAAGCTCCTGAATCCAATATTCAGTCATCAACAGAACTATGAACTGTCAATAGTAGTGCATTCTATGATTCTTCACTTACCACATTTGCACTGTCATTCTCCTTCTTCTTAGGATTCCTGCAGTTCCTCCTTGTGTGACCAGTTTTGCCACAATTCCAGCAAGTTACTTGTTTATCATGCCTTGACTTGCTCCTGCTTCTGTTATTTGATTTTGATCTTCCCCTGTTTGAGTTTCTATCATGTGATCTCCCTCTGGAATCAACATTTAGTGCCGAACTCGAACCTGAGATCTCGCCAAAATCTTTCCTGCGCACCTCCTCAGCCAAAATCAAATCACGAATATCTTCAAATTTTAGTTTTGATTTACATGCAGAATTACTGACAGCCATCCTCATAGCTTCCCAGCTATTTGAAAATGAAGCCAACAAGATTAGTGCATGTATCTTATCATCAAATTCAATTTTCACAGAAGATAATTGATTTGTGATAGTATTAAAATTATTCAAGTGTTATACAACATACATACCTTCCGCCATCTTCAAATTAAATAACTTCTTCATCAGAAATACCTTATTATTCGTCGATGGCTTTTCATACATACCTGACAGGACTGCCATAAGATCTGCAGTCGTCCTCTCCTTGACGACGTAATGTGCAACAGACCTCGATAGGATCAATCGAATAACCCCCAAAATCTGTCGATCTACAGATTCCATTCAACTTCCTCTATTCTTTCAGGTTTTTTCTCCAATAACGGAAGATGAAATTTCTTCCCATCGAAGTAGTCATCTATCTGCATTCTCCAATAACAAAAATATGTGTCATCAAATTTCTCGATCTCTGAAACTTTCACTTCATCTGCAGTCATTGGCTCTGATACCAATTGATGTGGTATATTGAAATAGAATCAAGGGAGTAACGGGCAAAGTGACCCGAAGCTTCGCGCGCGGGAGCAGACGAAGGCGCCGATTCGCGACAATGGAGGCGGGAGCGGGAGATCGCGATTCGCGATCATAATGTTTGAGTGGAAAGGGATGTGAAATAGGGGTTGAGTTCGGGCACAAGACATAAGTGTGTGATCATGAAAGATGAATTTATTTCACTTTAAAACTAAACTTACGAAGAGAAGACATAGTGACATGTTGATGAGGGAAGGGAAGAAAGAAGAGAAGATATAAGATGTAATAGTAGAGGATATAGATGAACAAGGATTTATAAGAGGGAAGAAGCTAGTATCCAAGCTATAATTTCATTCATTTAATTGAAGAATTATTAGAACTAGACTCAATTAAACAAAAAGAATACTAGAAAAAATAAATTGAATTGAAACTCATCCTTTTCAAACTACCATAATAATATCCGATAAGGATAATTGTACAAAAAAATAATGCAGAAAATAAATCTAACCCTCATTTATCACGCATCAAATACACACCACAAACTCTTTTTACTATCCATTATAAGCCATAACCACCAATAATCTAACAAGGCATAAGAAATCGTTTTTCATAATTCAATATGCTAACATTAAATTCACATGAACCATCGCGAAGGTATTAATGTGCTGGTGTAAGCTAGTAAAATAAGCGTCTTACCAATTGGAAAAGAATGAGTTAAAACTTCATAATATCGTCTCAACTTGCACTCATCAAAAAGAATAAAAAAGAGAAGATAATGAAATAGGATCAAATAAGAATTATCACCATACCATTCCATCATCTTATAATAAAGGCAACTTGAATGCAATCAAAAAAACAAATAAATATATATTTGAACTAGACATTTGTTTCCATTTACTATGACACATTATTTAATTGATACATTAAAAAAAATACTATAAAAGCTTCCAAGCAACTATAACTTACAATATCAGCAGTGGCACTTCTTATAGCCTCCAATTTTGGACAGCACGATCTTTTGCTCTGAAAAAGAGATTTAAAAATTGATTATATCAAAATGAAACAATTATCCTATCAGTTGAAGAATGAATGAAAATATAAGCTACAAAACACAACAATGGTAGCTTTAAGAAGACATCAAGTTGGATAATGCTAAACATTGGTTAAATATATGTGTTTCCAAACAGCAGTGAAGGATTCAATTATTATGTCATATACATAGCAAAATAAATTACTATGACCAGTAGACTATTTGGGTGTATCAGTTTATAACACCAAATTTTTCATACCCGATTTAGTTCCTCAACTTATCACATCCTAACATTTTTGGTATTTGTGTCATCTCTTCAGTAAAAAACTGATGAAATTTGATCCTTTGGTTGCAATGTTGACCTTTCAAGCTAAGAAAAACTTTAAGGCCTCGTTTGATACCATGGCTCGTCTCCTTCCGTTTCGTCGCCTTTCTGTCGCAGAGAATGCCGACCATTCGTTTGGCAGAAAAAATTTGGAAGAAGCGCTTTTACCGGAATGGCTATATTCAACGTTTTGTGATCGCAACTTAAGTCATCCAATCTGCTATTTCAGATCGTGTTCCGATGTTTCTGAAGGTAAAAGTGTTGAAATTTGTATCTGGTTTAGAGTCCTATTGTAAATAAGAAATATATAAGAAGTCTAGGGATTTATTTGTAAAATATTGTAAGACTCTATATAAGTCCAAGTTCATTAATAATAGAAGAAGATTTTTTGGAGCCAATTTTCTATTTTGTATCAGAGCTGAACCCTAGCCGTTTTTTTTCCTTCCACTTCATCCTCGCGAAGCAGCCGCGACAAGAGCTAACTGCGATGCCAACGGCGGGATAGCGGTGACCAGGTCGGGACATGAGTCGACAAGGTCGGGACCAAAGTACAAATACCTGAAACTCCCAATCTTTCCCTTCCTTCCACTTCGTCCTCGCGAAGCACTTGCAGCTAGAGTCAGTTGAGCAAGAAATGACGAAACTGTTGCATTGGGATGGGCATACAGAGACACGAAACTCTCATTTTTCTCTTCCTTCTGCTTCGTCTTGACGAAGCAAAAAAAACTAGAGCCCATTAAAAAGGCAACGACAGGACTGCAACATACAAAGACTACCAAGGCTGGTGAAACGACGTGGAATAACGACATGGGAAGGTAGGCCTGGTGCGGTCTTACATGCGGCTCCGAAGTAAGGAAGGCAGCAGAGCAGGGCCTTCGTTTATGGAGTTAACCTCGACGACGGGGAGGCGAAGGATCGAAGCGGCTACGGTTTTGCATGCGGGACAGAGGGGTTGTGGCTTCATATGACCTAAGGCAATATGGATGGCATGAACATGCAAAAAAGAAGTCACATGTGATATGTGTGATCTAGACTTAAATTCCTGTGATTGAAAATGACACGAGAGAGAGATAGTGCGAGAGGTAAGGGATTGAAATTTGGGGAAGATAGATCTTAAACTTCTAAAAGTATTGCTAGGGCTTATATAAGGAAATAGCGTCTCGACAGGAGCCACTACCTCGGCATGTGCTCTGATGCAAGTGAGACTAGATCTCCCGCTTGTGGATCTGAAGCTCAATGGACCGGCCATGTATCTAATTCGGTCGTGTCAGATCAAGACAGTTCTAGTAGGGGAGAGACTAGAGAGATACCTAATGGAGTCGAGACAAAGAGTGACAGTGCTAAGGAGGATGAGTGGGGGACTACAAACTCCTTGTTTTACACCTGACTACTCAACTCGATGACTCCATTGATTTCCTCATCAATAGATGACATTCGAAAGATGAGTGACATCTGGGAGTAGCTGAAGAGGATCTATGCTGGGGTTGAGAATCCAGATTCAGCGTGAGATAGAAGTAGTGGTACAGGGTGATAGAAAGATCCAAGAGTACTCCATAGACCTGGAACGGCTGTGGGCAGATCTTGATCACTTCTCACCGATATCGAATTGTAGTGATTCAGTGCAAGATAGGGGAGACCTTCACACATATGAGAATTATGCAGTTTTGGCTAATCTGAACCTGACATTTGATTAAAGAAGATCAGTCCTCTTAGCCCATGTGGCGATCTGTTCGCTGGATGAGGTCATCACCGTGATGATCTAGGAGAAGAGTCGCGTGAGATCACACTCTGAGCCTAGAAGACTACCAGGTAGGTGATCAACTTTGGTTGTCTTGAGCTCGAGTATGACAAGTGCCTAAGGGGAGACTTGTCAGTACTACAACTGTGTTGATTCGGCTCGCTAAGCAAACGAGCCGAACACGAACACACTTTTTGAGCTCGAAATATAAACCAGCCGAACATGAGTTACACCCCTAACCCCAACCCATATTCTTCATTTTCATCAAATTCTCAATAATTTGATCTTATCACGCATAAATACATCGATTATATAATATATTTTACAAATAGCCATGTAATCATCCTAACTATTAAACAAATGCAATTTTTGCTCACACAAAAGAAAAGGGGAATGGGACCCACGAAATTCCACATGAAGATATTTGAGTATGCCACGTGTACACCATATAATAGCACTACGTACCTTCCTTCTATCCTTTTGCCTCTCCCCTTATCCCTCCTTGATCCATCTCCCTAGATTTCTATGCACTTTTGGCCCTTCACTTAGATACCATGTGGATAACATAACGCTGCCCCTCACCTTTGTATATAACCCCACAAATATCTTCCCCTCCTCCAACTAACTATTAAGGAGACAATTTCAAAACCCTTGTTTTCTCCATTAACGCACGCTTTTCTAATTTCCTTTTGTCTTCTTCTTCTTTCTTTCTTCTTCCCTTATATTTCCTTATTATAATATTTGTTGTCTCTTTCGTGTAAGAAGAAAGAGATGGATCATATTCAGCATCTTCCATGCTTGCGCTGCCAGCCGCACAGATTCATAAGGATAAATCTCTAATTCTACACCCAATAATATATATTTTTCTATATATTTACACTTAATTCTATGAACGGAATACTCCTTCATGGACTTAAATGTGATTCTCATTCTGTTGTAGAACTCATACTCTATTTCTCGGATCATATGTTTCACAACACATTTTAACAATTCGATTAGCCAAATCAAAATGTAAATTAAGAGCGGAGTTGAAAAACCATCACAATTTATTTTAAATTTTAACATTGGCATATCCAAATTATCTCTTCATTTCACCATGTCTCAAAGTAGGGAGAAAGATAAAGAAAGCTACTCAGAATTCATGAGAAAGATACAACAAAACACAAATTTTATAAATAAAAGAAAGTTCATACAACAATAATAAACAAAAAACACTAATATGAATCTTTTTCTCAAAGAAAATCCTTTGTAGCCTCTCTTAGGAAATGTAGGAAGAAGAAATCTCTCACTTCTCTTCCTCTCCAACACTTCTTAGAGAGTAATTCACACTTAAACTCACCATAAAAACTCAAAACTATAAAGAAAATAAATGACTGATGTTGTGGAATAGCGTAAAGTGGCAAGAAGGAGCAAAGAGATGCAAAGGGGTGGTGAAAAAGAGCAAGTAGTAATGAGGAGTGTCTTTTCTAATCAATTTCGGCCCCAAATAGAGCCTAATCGGTTCTCCAATAGGTGCAACCAAAAACTCTTCAAAAAGCGTCCAAGTTCGTTGAATCTTCTAGAAACAGGATCTGAACCGACATTGGCGTTGTCGGCGCCAGAGACCATTTAATTAAATCAACCCTCTCAGTCAAAAGGTGCAGTCGACACTGCTTCTGGCGCCGTCGGCGCTGAGTGAAATCCATAAGTAGTTCTATAAGTCTGCGCCGTCGGCGCTGCTTCTGGAGCCGTCAACGCTGAGCATGTCTTCAAAAACGCTATTTTGACTCCAAATTCAATCATTTTTGCTTCTTTTTTGCTTCAAGTCCTAAAAATCAACAACCTACAACAAAACATAAAAATATCTTTCATTAAAGTGCAATATCACCAAAAATGAGTATAAAATATGAATCTAAAAATGCATATATTTTTTGTGTATCAAAATCCCCCAAACTTACATGTTACTTATCCTCAAGTAACTCCTCTACTACATAAAATATGACTTATACTAAAGAATTTAACTTCTAGATTTCAATATTTTAGTTTACTAAACATAATAGCATAACTTGAAAAAAAATTCAAAATAACTCCAATTAATATTAAAGGTATAAGAACATTTAACAATGAAGTCCAAGATTTTTTTCTCTATTCTTTTCAAGAAAAACTATAAATTGTCATATTAAAGTTACTTAGAATATCCATATGAAAAAAAACTTCATAAAACTTTACTAGTAAATAAACTAATACTCAAATAAAAGTTTAGAAAATGTAGTCAAGTCTTCTTCTTTAAGTTGATTCAAGTGAAGTCAATTTTTAATTAGTCATTTCCTCAAGCTTCTCCTCTTATCTTTTTTCTTTTCTTTTCTTTTTTCTTTGCAGGATCATTTTCAATCTTTATTTTTTCTTTTCTTCATCTTTTCTTTTCTTTTCTTTTTCTATGTGAAAATTACTATATTTGAATAGTTTTTAATAATTTTGAACTTCACTATCCTCCTCTTAATGTTAAAAAATTTTCACATTCCTTCACTTAACAAATTTATATTAATTTAAAGATTTCATAAAGTTTAATTCTTTTCTTTTTACATGAATCTTTAAGATTTCTAATACTTCAAAAATACAAATTTCTTTACTTAAAATAGAAAAACATAGTTTTATTCTCTTATACCAAATATCTTAATCTATAGAATTAACCTTAATTATTGAAATTTTTTACTTAAGCTTACTATATATTTAGAAACATAAATATAGTTATCTAAAGCTAACCTCCAACACCAAATGTCATGTTAAATTTAAATTTTTTGAAAATATAGCTAGGTGAGAACAAATAAAATTTTCTTTCTTTTTTTTTAAAAAAATTTCTCCCTTTTCTCCCCCCAAACTTAAATTTTTAAAAAATTTAGCATGAAGAAATGAAAAAAATAAATGGTGAAAGAAAACATTAAATACATAAA